TGATCAATCAAACCTATTTCGGTTTATTTTTATTGCTACTTTTAGACGACTCGATCGACGACCAAATTTGCAAGTTTTAATAAGAGTCATTGTATCTATGTTAAAATATTCCCAGGTTTGCATGTACCATTTGACAAGAGTAACCTGTTTTTCAAAAAGCCAGCTAGATGATCATTATATGATGTATTTATAAGAGGACCTGGGTTTGCTCATTACTTTCACTTTTCTTTGTATCCAAGTTATGGGTAAATTCAACTGACTGTATCAGCTGTATTCGAAAAGTAAACTGTTTCTTTTTGGTTATTGCCGAGCTTACTTGCATTTCAAGTGAAAGTGTCGGGTGAAGAGATTCGAAGGTCGGTTCCACCAGAAGACGACGGCGAAATCCCCTTAAACAGCTGTCGGTTGGCTTTACTGGAAGATTCATGCTGACGCTGTGTATGCAGAAAAGGGGAGATGTGGGTTATACACAAACAGACACACACACACACATACAGAGACAGACACATTCACAGGCATCGAAGTTGACATATGACCCCAACTATACATGATCAAAGAGGCAACATGTAGAGTATATATACCACTTTTTATGGATTTGCCGGTGAGTTTACTTGACTATTTAGCCTGAATTTGGTTGTGATGATGATACCTTGTTCTGATGATGTTTGTCACATGACGGACAAAAGCTTAACACCTTTTCACCGGAATCGAACAAAATTGCCTCGGGAACAGCGTCGCCATGAATGTTCAAGTAAAGCCAATCGACAGCTGGTCGAGAGGAATCCGCCGTCGTCTTCTGGTGGAACCGACCTGCGAATCTCTTCACCCAACACTTTTACTCGAAATGCAAGTAAGCTCAACAATTATGAAACAAGAGATTCCTTGAAACTCAACTTTTCTTCGCATATCTTTTTGGTTAATCTTGCAGGGAATTCACCACACTTTTAGACATACTTACATGCCATGAATGATGTTCAAGTAGTAGGGCTTCTACTTCGGCTCTTGTTCAGTATCTACTTACTGTGTGACTTTGCATTTTTGTTTCTGACTTCACATGTGTCGTGTTGCTGCAAGATCCATTCATGATATATCGTCGCATCTTGTGACATGGTTGAAAGTCGGCTGAGTTGCGAGAGGAGATACTCGAATTTGGTACAAACTCATCCAACGACGAAGACGACAGACAAACTAGTCTTTAGGCTAATCTCAACAGGACTAAAAATGATTTTACAAAGAACACGGAAGACTGCAAAGCATATCCAAAATAAAGAATTTTAAGGGCAGGATAGTTATATTTTATCGTCTTTCGCTAAATTTTGTACATTTTTATGAACAATCGGCCTATAAAATGGAAACCTGAAGAAATACTTGATGTGTGAATGATTCCAACTACCCTTACTTGGCACTATTATCATAGTTCTAGTGGTACGAAGATAGATTAAAATGAAATGTATCCAAACCGAAGCATCTTGTGCATATTGAACGGACATGATTGAAAGTATATGCCCTCTTCAGCGTCAATAAATGTGCCTAATTAATTGCTTTATTATAGCATTCTTTTAATATTCAACTTTACTAATGTTTATAATAATACATTTGAGAGTAGTTTTTCTCGCTTTGAATGTCATTTCCAATTTTCAAATCGTTGGAACACTGATTTGATAAGCATGTTTCAGAGCGAAAGGCATGGTAAATTTGCTTTTCATTCCGTACCAGACCTAAGATACTGTATGGCAAAGTTTACACAATATATCACCCAGTTGTAGTTTGATAATATTTTCACATATTCTGTCAATGTTTACACGCATTTCACATATTAAATATATTTAATGTGTAATACGTGTAAACATAGAACGAATATGTGAAAGTATTATCAAACTACAACCTGCTGCTACATAGTGTAAACATTAAGGTGCTATGGTGGAGGCTGTACCTTTCAGAGTGTGTATGCGTAATATGTATAAATATTAAATAAATATTAAATATGTGTATTATATATGCTTATAGATATACGAATAGTCATTACTTGGATATAGGCTGACGATATTTGCACCTGTTCGGTCGGTATCTACACATATTACACATATCTTACACATATATATATTGTTATACACACGCACAAGCATATATACATATATTTATTTATTTATTAGACAATCTATACTTACGTATATTACACATATTGAATATATTTATTTATTTATATATGTGTGTATAATATATGTGTAATATGTGTTGGTACAGACCGAATATATTAAAATATCGCTGACTTATATACAAGTGATAGCTATTCGTATATCCATATACATTTAATATGTATATATATTGCAGATAGACACTCTGAAGAGTAACGCCTCCAGCATAATCCTACTTCTCTGCAACACGCCTTCGCCACTCTGGCCTGTGCAACTGATAGACGGCATGAACTCTTCCAGACATTTCCTTGTCATCAGCTCGACATTTTTGGGGACACAATAAAGCACAATGCCTTTAATAGGAAGAATTTAGTCGGACTTGTAAAAATCCAGCTTGTCCTACCATTTGCCATAGCACCCTCCTCAATCTTCCATTAACCGACTTTCCTGTGGGCAAGTAAATATGCGTTTTTCTTTCTGCTATTCTCATTTGCCAAATGTCAAAATATGTACTTTTGCCTAAAACAACTACTTTATTGCGCGGTCGTGAATTTCATCTCATTTCATCTATCGATATCGTACAGCCCTCGAGACAGCCTATTCTCGGACTTGTGAGTGCCAGGGGACTGCACTCCCGGCGAATGGCCACACGACTGCGCTGTACCCTCGTCGGTGTCGGTGCTGGCAATGGAGATCAAGTAAAACCGACTGATCCTTCCGGCAAATGCAAGAATTCGGCCATTTCAACCAGGCCTTCCACAGCCAAGTCCTCTACCGTCGTGTCTTTCAGTCGACTTCCGAGTTCCCGGATTTCGACGACCGTCGAATGTGCCGACTCCGACTTTATCCCCATCAGCGACGTTGGCATGGCAGCAATCGCCGTTGGCCCACAGAGCCCGGCATTTTCACACTCAAGCTCGGCTCTTGCTGTTGCAGCGCCAACCTGCAGCCCCTCGCCCACTGACAGTCCAGCCGCTTGGGCGTGTCAACTTTCCTCTCGACCCGTTGGCCCCTCCTGTTCATCTTCTGCCCACCTCCTCGTCACATCCTCGCCAACCTGGTCCGTGTCGACGCCAGCTCCGCCGGCCCCAGTTGTCACTTCGCCTTCTTCCTGCACACTCCGCAGCGCTGGTCCCGCCTCGTTGCCAACATCACCGCAGAGGCCGGAAATCACAAAACTCGACTGTCGACCGCACACTCGGTTGTTCATACAATCGGGCACCACAACACATGTTTGTTGCCATTTTAGACTAGACCTATTCACACGTTTATGTGCCGATAGTTGATCACATATACAAACTGTATTCAACATGGGTCGTATCAGGAGACGAAGAAATGGTACCTAGGTCCTCCCACAATCCCATGAATAGGCATCACGTTTTCAACAGATTACACTGACCTCTGCTGCACAAAATGTATTCTCCCAAAGCAAAGGATAGCAGTTAAACACACACAGATTAGGCCAGCTTTTATGACAATTGAGGTAACTGGGGAAGAAGGGGTGATAAGAACTGAAAGTCTCCCATTTTTGCGGTACCCTCCAGATGTGAGTCAATGCCAGTGCCCCAGTCAGTTACATAAGGCATAATACTTTGCATATGTTTCGTCTATAAACAGATTTTCCCATTAACATGATTTACTGGAAGTCTCTAAAACTTGCATATACACGCAAAATAAGTAATATAGTAGATGGCTTCATCGAAAATCTCACCAAGAATGTGATATGGGAAAATGCCTGGCTTTGCTCTGTGATCCGAGGTCAATCGTGGCAATGGGGCGTAGTGGCTATAGTGTCGAGATGATATGCTGAACTGTTATAGTTCGAGTCCCGCTGGATGAGTGATGAGACAGGCTTATGCGTTGCCAAAAACCGACGTCTATCTTAGGCGAGAGAGAATAGCATTTTCTGAAAGGTCGGATCATAGCATTGTGGGAGGAGTCAGCTAATAGTCACTTTGACTAGACTTTCCATTGCGAGGGAAAAGTCAGTTAAGAGAAATTCGTGAAATGGTCTCCGCGGAGACTGAAGGAAGATGAGACCGTTGGTGGAAGAGGTCCTCGCCTCGCCGTCCTACAACTCCGATCAACATGTGCTAAGCTTTCTTCTGTACCGCGGTGGCAAACATCAACAGAACATGAAAGTCTATTTTGCGAAATGACTCACCAAAATTGTCGACGAAGCGGAAAAATGTTTGGTCACTTCTGATGCGGGATCCTGCGATCTTGACGAAACATCTCAGGATTCAGTCGATCAACTAAAAGTTTGCATGCTTCCAGATGAGTGCAGGCAAATGTATGTTGTTGCAGCAGTTTCCGTACATGACTAGCCGATCGTATAATCGTAGATTTGAAGACCAAAAATGTGTGGCCTTTTCTCTCTCCTTGAGCTGTATGCTGTTGTGTTGGATTGATCCCGTTTTCCCAACTTTGTCAGAGCAAGAGGGAGACTTTTAGAAGGTATCCAGAATATTCATGCCAATTCCCACTATCAGTTCGTTGACTTGGTTCATTTCCAAGACAACACATCTCTCACCGACGTCTGGGAATGCACCATGCTAACGGCCGGATGTTGAGGATCATCATCAATATTCTTGCAGAGGAGGCAGCAGTTGGTACATTCCACAAGGTCTCCCTGTCACCACGGCCAAGCTGCGAATACGAGGTAATGTTCGGGGAGAGGTGTTGTCTTGGAAATGCACCAAGTCAACGAACTGATAGTGGGAATTGACATGAATATTCTGGATACCTTCAAAAAGTCTCCCTCTTGCTCTGACCAAGTTGCGAAAACGGGATCAATCCAACACAACAGCATACAGCTCAAGGAGACAGAAAAGGCCACACATTTTTGGTCTTCAAATCTACGATTATACGATCGGCTAGTCATGTACGGAAACTGCTGCAACAACATACATTTGCCTACACTCAGCTGGAAGCGTGCAAACTTTTAGCTGGTTGACTGAATCCTGAGATGTTTCGTCAAGATTGTAGGATCACGCATCAGAAGTGACCAGACACCTTTCGCAAAATAGACTTTCTTGTTCTGTTGATGTTTGCCACCGCGGTACAGACGAAAGCTTAGCACATGTTGATCGGAGTTTTAGGACGGCGAGGCGAGGAACTCTTCCACCAAGGGTCTCATCTTCCTTCAGTATCCGCGGAGACCATTTCACGAATTTCTCTTAACTGAATTTTCCCTCGCAATGGAAAGTCTAGTCAAAATAGTTTGCTATGTGCTCCTTTGTTTCCTATTGCCAAAAGTAAATTTTAATCTACATTTATTTGCAACTGATTACATTTTTTACAAACTTTAAGTCTTTAGCATATGAAAGTTTAGCAATAGTTAATCTTTCTTTTGTGAAACTCTTCTTGACATTGCTTGCAATCATGTCGATCACAATAAACCAATCTTCAAGCCCAGTTGTGTATTGACAAAGCAAACTGTAGTCTAACCGTGCAATTCACGGCAAAATCTGTCAAAGCCGGTTAGATTGGCGCCTTGAAACTTACTTTATACTTTTTTGCTTTGCGCTGCAATGTGCAACAAAAGGGTGCATAGACTGCAATGGCGGTGAATTGTTCATGACCGCCTCCTACCTACAGATTTATATGATCTTCTCTACAACGATCTGCACAGTTACATGCAATGCTTGCTGCATATAGTAAAGTTCTATTTTTCAGGCTTGTTGAAGTCTCATCCACACTTGACTAGACTTCAGTTTCAACATCGCCTAAACGTCTTTCATTTAAAGCCCTGACAGGGTTTGCTACAGGTTTGTGAGTACAGTGAGGATTTTATCACTCCACGGCACATCCACGGTTGCGTCACGATGGATCACAGGACAGATTTCAAGCCAGATCATATCAAAATTACAAGTTTTATATTGGGATTGTGTATTAGGTGACATGCGTTTCGCGGTACAAGTAGGCTTCAAGACTATCAGCAATTCTTGGATAGTAATCGGGTCAGACTTAGTCGTTTAAGGTGATTTGGGAAATTATATTTGCTTTTCTCACATTGACCGGCATACTCATCAGATTGCAAGCAAACTCAAATAGCAGTCCTTTAAATCATCTTTAATCCCCTAACCTAGGCTCACTTAGTTCTTATTCACATACTACTGATAGCCTCAGAGCACAGTAGTACTGTCGGACAGGTTTAGGCTACTTTTTTCCGATATTCTAGGGCGATAAGCTCTATAAGACAAGACAATAAAGTTAGAAGCGGAAATGTTTCGCCTATAAACAGATTTTTGAGACTGCCAGTCAATCAGTTGTATGAGATGTATGCAATCTATTTCCTGTCACGGTTTGACTCCCGTTGGGATGTTGATAAGACCTATTCGAGGTCGAGAATGCAGTCCACTCAAACCGGGATGAGAACATCTTTTTGGAAATTGAACGGAAGCATCAGCTCTACACATATGCTTGTGGGAAAATTCTAGTACCAGTCCTTTCTCACATTAAACGAAATATAGGCAATACAGCTCATACACATCTCGTAGAAGCGGAACTGTTTGTGGAACTACATGCTAAATGAGTATTTAAGCGCAAAATTTCATTATTACTGCTTACTTGTGAGTAGACTAGGGTGATGTGTTGCTTTAACAATTTGATTAAATAATTTCATAGTAAACCTAATCTCCTTAGGTGAACTGATCTATCATGATAAATGGATGGCAACATATCCGCTATGAATAGAAGTAGCATCGTTGATTATACTGGTCGTCTTATCGACACTTCTAGTATAGGCTCCTAATTTACCTCAGAATCACATCTTTTTTGAGGCCTAGTTACGTCCGTGTTTGTGTCGAGTTATAAGGCTTAGATACTTTATGTGCACGAATCCGTTTCGAATACCGTTAGGGATGCTGGTGAGGCCTAGTCGAGCCTAGATTTGCAGTTCATTCTGGAAATGAACAAAGTCATTGGTATCGTGGTACCTAATATAGTGTTGTTAGGAAGCTTCACGTTCAGTACGTAAATCGGCCTAATAAACTGCCAGACGGCAACCATTCATAGTGTCGGCTGTCAAATCAAGCGCGTATTTATGAGCTAAAATGCATGAATACTGTTAATTTTTGAGTAGTATAGAATGGTGTTTTGCTGGAACGTTTTGGTCTGAATGTCCCAGTCATATATGCATTAACTAGGGTTCGAAGTTTCCCTAATTGAACTGCTTTCTTTGCATTTCTGATAATAGACTTGGGTAGCAGTCTCATAAATATAGAACCAATTTCGGAGCTGCTGGCAAGTCAAAAATTGAGCGAAACTGTAATACAATCTAAGTTAGAGCAAAAAGACATTTTTGATTGCTTTGCTGATTCCGTTGCCTTATACTTGGCCTATTCTAAAACTCAAAGACTTTAGCTTGTAATTCCATTTAGCCGACTTTTCCCTGGCAACCGGCCCTTTCTCTAAGTCAACATCGTCTACGGGGTTCAATAGAGCTGCTGGTACCAGTCACATTGCTGCGGCTTTTCATATAAAAACCTTCAGTGAAGATTGGTATTGAAACTTTTCCCATTTGTTGATCCACCAAATTGTGTCCGCCAAAAGTTAGTCTTAAAACACACCCGTTTAGTTTCAGATCAATTCCCACGAGGCGCAGCTCCTATTCTCTTTGCCACACTCGATCCTTCCTAAATGAAGATGAGAAAAGAATGACAATTTGGGCCAAATTCTTCGCAAACGCCTCTTTCATATGCTCACTTGTCTTCTTGAGGCAGCCGAAATCAGCTGTTTTGTAGGGAATGTGTAGGCAAAGCTTGTTTTTGCTCGTAATAGAACAAATTTCTTGATTTATGTGCAAAATAAGGATTATGCTGGCATGCAGCAGAGCTACCCATTCACTTATTCATACTTGCCTCGTGGTCACTAGTTGGCCTCTCCTCCTATGCCTGAACTCCGACGCTCTTAGTGTGGAAATAAAGTTTAAGCCAAAGTGATCCAAAGTGTCCACGGAACTGGATGAAGCTACAAGACTTCGAGTAAGTGAAT